CTGCGTTCAGCAAGCTGCTTGTGTCCGTTCCCGTGTTCGTCCGGGCAAGATCCATTGCAAGATGCCAAGATAGTTTTCGCTCCCTCTCGCTCTCTCTCTCTCTCTCTCTCTCTCTCTCTCTCACTCTCTCGTGCCTTACAGTTGCGGAACCCGTTAAGTTGGTGTTTGAAGAGAAGCCAACAAGGAGGTATCGGCTTCCATTTTAGGGGACCCCTATTTGCGAAATCATCCATTTAATGTATGTATTAGGCTTTCATTGAAATTTCAATGTACCTTGGATGCACGGACTGGACAGATGGAAAGAGGTATCCCCATTCCAAGGGTTGATGCGAACAAAGATTGGGCAACCGAGCGGAATGAAACAACTGATGTGATAATCAAGCAACAAGCGATCGCTCATCGCCCTCGTTAAACAAGACATCGAGAGAACACCCAAAGTTTCCTCTGGTTTGCCCACACATGGCCGTTTCTTCTTGCACGCAGAATTGCTAGTTCCTTTGGGCCTAGTATGGTAGGTATCCGGCCATTTTGTTGGGTTTCAACAGTTTGTTTGCCGTGGTTGCTGACAAAACCCGGGAGAGAGGTACTATGTGAGAACAAAACAAGCTAAATGGAGAAACATGGAGAAACTGAGACACGGAAGCGTCTCGATCCCACCTCAGCCCTAGGCCGCACTCGAGGAGGAGCTGTTGGAGGCCAGTTGTCTCGCGGGCATAGGCCGCGTGTGGCGTGCGTGGCCTGTGTGTGTGTAATATTGTATAGACTTTTTGTTTTAAAGGGGTAATTACCCTTGTCGTCTTGGTTTCAAGGAAATCCAAAAGGCACATGATCTCTCACCATTTTTTCACCATGTCCTCTTGAGGGAACAAGTAATTTTGGCCGTGGCTCATGTATACTGGGGTCATTTGGAGTTGCATGTTGACCTCCTCATGTGTGTGTGTGTGTGTGTGTGTGTGTGTGTGTGTGTGCATTTAGCCCTACAAGCTGTCGTTGCTGGTGCTAAATCCTGCCAGCAAATGATTACCTGCCAGCATTCGGTGTAAGGCTCGAAGGAGTTGACGTTGCATGCGTATGCACCAGAAAAGCTAATAATACTAGCTTTCTGCTGGTTTCTCTTCAAGCCAAGGTGAAAAGGGTACGCTCAAACAGGGAGACACACATATATAAAAGCCTGTATAAGCGTAGTAGAGCCAAACATCAATGGGTTTTTGGGACCACATCTATTTCTTTCTTTTCTTTTGTGACAGCCTATCAGGTCGTAGATGTGGACAACATGTCCGACCACGAGTTCGAAGCGTTTGGCAGCGTAACGGATGATGCGTCTGGGCTGAACAGCAGCAGTGGTTGCAGTGGTTGCAGTAGCAAAAGAGCTAGGCTTGGCTGCTCTTCGATTTGATCTGGATCTGAAAACTTAAAACTTTAACTTTCGGGAAACATGTTGTGTTTTCCTTTAATTATTTCATGCACAGTTAAACTTCTTGCGCAGGGGGCACTAGCCAACACGTAGACGCAGCAGTAGCTGCATAATTTGTCATAAGCAAGTGCATCAGCCATGGGTTGTTGCAGTTGGTGCTTGCTAGTCCGCTTGTCACAGTTCCACTTGAACTGTGACTTTGTCTGCAGAGCTTTCACTATCATTCTTGCGCGTTGAGCCAGAAGTATTGCTAAGTTGCACCGCTGTTTCATGCATTACCAAGCACGTCCTTGACATGCAGTTCACCCAGAAAGGCGACCTTTTTCCGTGATTTAGTTCATGACTGTCAAAGCCCAAAACTGGGCTTTCCCTCGAAGCTTCCACTTGGGGCTTTGAGACCGGAGGGGCCCTGGGCCACCGCTATGTGGCAGGCATTCAAAACATGGCTTCTTTTAGGTACCCGCTAGATCCAAGTCATATCCTAGGAGCATCCGCGCTGACAATGTCAAAAGTTTGGGCTTTTGAGCTTGCTATTTTGGGGAGGGGAGAGCTGTGCCGAGGTCCTATCGAATGCAGCTTAGCTGCACGTCGTGGCTGGTCCTTTTGCTGATCCACTTGCAGCCGGGTTGGGCTTACTCGTTTAACTAAGTGGACCCTGGTCGCCCTTGAAGGGACGCAACAGGATGGTTGTTTGAACTTTCTAAAATCATGGCTTCAACCAAGGGTTTGGCTCAGCCCTCTGGTATGTTGATGTCTGGAGGTTTCCAGTGCTCAGCGCCGATTATTTAGCTTCATTGGGTTTTCTCCCTTGCGCAAAGGCCGTCCCAAGGTGTTTGCATTGCCCGTATCATTTTGAGCTGCACTTGCATGGCGGACACCTAGCCAGCAGAACTTCGTCGCATTTCGCGGCGCCTGTTGTTTCTGCAAGGTTCAAGACGGTTCAAGCAATGCAGCCAGACCGGCTAGGCCAATTGTTTGTCAATCTTAATAATAGTCCGAGGCCAATTGAGGCCCAGCTTTGCATGTACCCAGACTGGTGTCTCAAACGGCCGAAGGTGTTTGCGTACATCCAGGACTAGTACATCGCCGCTCGTTTGCAAATGAGTGGCTAGTGGGTGGCTCGTCTTTTTAAGGGCCCACTTGTGGTTGATGTTACAGGGGGCACCAAAGGAAGCCAACCATTTTTTTGGGCCCCCATTTGGAGAAGCCAAACATGAACAGCCAGAGCTTGAAAGCTCCTTCGTCCTTGCATACTGGCCTCCGTGCGATTCGGCTCAACAGTGACAATCATAAACTTTGTGGGGAGGCTCATCCATTTGCGTTGCGTGTATTTGGTGCATGCTCCAATAGACATGAGGCCCAGAAAGGGATCCTCCAAAAGCAAAGGAGGTTCCTCTACCAAGCATAAGGCTTGTCGGTTTCATGTTAATCTGCAAAGGAGCCGGCTATACCGTTCTCGTTCTAGACTCGACTGCCCAGAGCGCACTTTGACACGACCATCCCCACTGCAACAAGTTGAATGTGCCTTTCCGGTCTGAGTTGTGCTGAACACAAGAGATTGCACTTCAAACAAAGTCGTGCTGTCAATCTTAACTTTGGATGCCCCGATCAGCCCTGCTTTCCTTGCCGGATGTGCGAGAGTCAAACCCACCCACTGCCATTCTTCCGTGAAGCCTTGAGAGTTGAATTCGCCTCAGGTGATCAACCAGGTTTTTCCAGATACTTTGTGAGGTAATACCCGCCTTGCATGGTTGGTCGTCGGCATGTTTAGATGGACGGGAATCGGGAAACTGTCCCGTAAGCCGTTAAAGTGCATGCGGGTACTGTGCAAAGCACAGCCCCCAGGACCTCAGGATCCCCATGCTGATTGATTGCAAAGTTATGGTAGTTGCTGGGACCGGCAGCTTTGAGTGCTGTTTCCAAGAACTTTAACCGCTGGCCACGGATACAGCCGCAATTGCCCTCGTGTTGACCACTGAACAAACACATTGGTGACACGTCATTCTGCTTATTAGAAGATGCTTGAACAGCTAATTGCAGACTCAAATTGGAGTTGACTGTTTGACATACGAAAGTTTGGACTTGGAATGACTACATGTTCTCCCTTTTGACACATGTTTGGGACTCTGTTGATCCTCCTTCACCTTCTCCTTCTGGTCCTCCCTTTTTCACTTCACTCTTATCCTTATCAGCACGACAATCATCACCACTAGAAACTGCATCATGACCACCACCAGCATCTTCATTGTCACCACCACCACCACCACCACCACCACCACCACCACCACCACCACCACCACCACCACCACCACCACCACCACCACCACCACCACCACCACCACCACCACCACCACCACCACCACCACCACCACCACCACCACCACCACCACCACCCATAAATGTGCCGCAACACATTAACATGTAGGTTTGTGTTTTTTGGCTTAGGCTCGGTACCCTTCTTCAGGTTGGTTCAAAGGCAACCCATGTTGAGGCTGTTGAGGCCTCAAATCGCTTTTTTGACACATGTTGAAGCAACCAACAGCTTGGCTTGGAAGGGAAGTCAAAAAGAGCTTGAATTTGAACAACTGGCATTTTTTGATTCGCAAGTTCGGCATTTTTCGCCGATACTTCCAGCAGCGGCGCTTCCAGCCCTTGGCTTGGCACACGACTGACCCCTGCGGAAGATCCGCAGGGGCTTGGCGAAGGAAAAGCCGTCGGCGGAACTTAGATTGAGCAGCGAAAGTAGATGACATCACTCCCTTTGCGTGGGTAAGAAAAAGGGGATGACTCAACCAACATTGCGGAATGGTGCCATCTCTGAAACAACTATGCTCCCCTGCAGATTGTCATGGAATCTAAAAACACCCGACTGTGGGGAACATCCTTTTGGAGGACCCCTTTGTGGGTTCCATGTTTGTTTGTGGAGTGGTATTGGAACGTGCAGGCAAATTTCAGGTGGAGAGAGAAATGCCATTTGTATTTAGGAGTTTGGTTCCTGGCCTTGACACCTGCAAAAACAAGTGGATATTCAGATTAACAGCAAGCTCCGGGAGAGCCTGTCGCAGATTGTCCAGAAGTTTGGCCACGGCTCATCAAGAATTGTTTGTGACAATGATTGTGACCTCTTTTGAACTGTCGGGCCTGCAAAGCACATGCCATTTGTACGGTTGTTGACGTGTTCAGGTCACGTACTATTTGACAGAGCGCGCAACAGCAGAAATAGACATTCTGGTGCAAGACCTGGCCTACTCAAGCAGGCATGGGATCTCAGTTTTACTTGTCATGAAGCAGAGGTAGTCCTCAAAATCCCAAGACTGCCAGGAAAACATGGTGTTCAATCCCAACCGGAGGCCCAACTGATCCAACGTAGCTTGCCCCTAGTGCACCGGGTGGTTGTGTGCAGCAAAGGTCACCAGCTATATGACCACAGGTGGGAATGGTATCACACATTTTGAATCTATTGTATTTTCAGGACCTTGAAATCTGTTGTATTTTTCGTGCCATTTTATCTGAAGCTGTTGTGCATTCAGAATCCAAAAGGACACGTCCCGGTGAAGGCGGGACTGCGGAAAGTGCTTCCGCCGCCATGGCGCGGAAGCGGAAGCTGATGGCACAGCTTGAGCTTTGCGGCCTGGATAAGGAGCTGGTCGCGTGTTGGTTTCATGTTGTTCCTCGCAGAGCTGAAAGCCATAATTAGGGCTGCCTGCTTTTTGTGCGCCACTATTGATGCCTGCTTGCGCGCGTGTTTTTTTGCACGTGTCTTGTAGCCACGCTGATTTGGATGATGAGACATGAGATGCGATCACTTTAGGAACCCTCTTTCAAGGTATGTTGGCGGATTCTTTGAATCACCTGCCACCAAGGCGGGCAAAGTACAAAACCAGACCCCGACCCTTTGTGAAGAAGGATAAATCAAAGGCAGTTGTTTAAACAAAAGGTGCTTTGGGCGTGTGCTTGTTGAGTGTACCTTTTCATTGGTTTAGTACAGGGCGGTCAAAAAGGGAAACCACAATTTTCAGGGTCCAAATCCCTAGTTTCACGAGCACCTATGAGGTTTAAACAGGCTGGATCGCCCAGTCGAGTCGCCAGCCATCAGTCGGTTGCCCCCGCAGGAGGCCAACCGTCTCATGACAGAGAAGAGCTCCTCGGCCCTGGTGGCAGATCAGTGCCAGAAGCTCTGTGATCAGCTGCTGAGGTGGGCGTCCAAAGGAAAAAATTGGGAATGGAGATGGATATAGAGGGATGGAGGGGGAGGGGACCCTTTGGTTTCCGAGTTGCTCCCCAAATTAACAGATACCATCAGATACCCACAAACAAGGCCCATGAAAAGGACCCCGGCGTAATTAGTGCCATCCAAGGATCCGACGCATTAGATCCACTGAGCTCTCATTTGCTCTGCATCCAGGTCAAGCATATTCTGAATAATGGCCCGATCTTCCTGCCATCATTGGTTGCCTCACTGCTATTGCAGGATGTGGACAGGGAGATTTGAGCCATGATTTCACTCATTTGACCAGCTGCGCGCCCAGAGCCAGATCATTTTAGGTGGTTCTACCCCCGTTTCAGAAGGGTTTGTATGGCCTATATTTTGGCCTTGTCTCAAAATATGGGGCTGTGCCGTTTTTTTGGTTTTCCTTTAGATTAAGAAGCCCGAAAAGGGCCTCAAGAAAAGACACGCCGATAATATATATATATATATATACATGACCATATATATATATATACATATACACACATTGTTATAACTATCTTAATAGAACCAACGTCAAAGAAGGGGTTTGGGAGTTCTGAGCTGATCAACCAAGACATCCCGCAGTTTGCGCTTTCCGGCCTTTTCGCAGACAAGTGGAGCTACAACAAGAGCTGAGCCGCCTTATGGACGAGGAGGACGGTCGGAATTTCACACAGATTGGCGGCACCGTCCCCTATTCGATTTCTCACCGGGTTTCGGTTTCTTTGGGCTCGGCACTCGTGGCCACGCCACTTGATTTTTTCTCGGTTCATCCCTTCTCTTGGACGGTTCGGCGACTTAGAGCGGCCTTGGCAGGGCCGAATTGCGCTTTCCAGAGTCTTGCTGGTTCCCAGAGTCTTGCTGCTTCAGAGACAGACCGATTGCGTGTGCTGCAAGGCACTGACCTCGCTTTTTGGCCTTGACATGTTGCAAGAAGGGTCCCATGTTTTGGTTAGCCCAAAAAGACTTGAATCCAGGGGCCTGGGGGCAATCACCAAATGGACCCCTTGGAAGACCATTGGGTGCCAACCTCGGGACTTTCGGATGGATCTCAGCATGTTTCTGAATCCAATGTTTGGCACTTCAAAGCCCACCTGAACTGAGATGTTCCTCCCCGGCTGCCAGAATGAATTGAGCTGAGGGAGTTGTCGGAGTTGTTGATTTTTTGGACCCTTTTGGACCTCCTTTAAAGGCGACATGTCACCATAACCCGCAAAGGGTCCATATTTCTGACCCCGCGCTTTTCCCACTTCTTGAGGAGACCCTGCACTCAGAGATCTCCAAGCGCCTCGCAGATGCGCAGGACTTGGAGGTGCGAAAGCAGAGAGAGAGAGAGAGAGAGAAAAAAAACAAAAAGAGAGAGGGGAGAGATGCATGTGTACATATTCATGGCGAGCGTAAGGCGACACGGTCTGCCAGCACGCTGTACATCTTACAAACATCTATGTGGGTCCCATATATATATATATATATATGAATATATATATATATATATACACATCATGATCATATATTGTGCATAAGGTATACATAGGTATGTGTATAACATTGAAAGATGGAACACAATGCACCAACACTTACTCTTTCTTAACACACATATATATATATATATGCTACCCCCCCCCCAGGGACCTACCTTTTGGCTGCCTCTCCAGTGCATGAATTGCCCATCTAGGACTGGGAGGAACGATCTCTCAACTAGGACCAGAACCAAATGAGACTAGAACCCAGGATCTCTGAACTGGGACTAGGACCAAACTAGGACTAGACGACCCACCTCAGATTCTTACAAAAAATGAACTTCAAGTATAACTTCCTCTGCAATGTCCTGTATATTTTCTAATTGTTGCAGTAAACTAGGGAGCAACCTAACACTAGAACCAAGGATCTCTCATCTGGACCAAACTAGGACTAGACCATTTAATTCTACTTCTTATAGTATTTGGATGTCAAGTATTACATTCTGGTGGAAAAAAAGTCCTGTTTAATATTTGGTCCTAACATGTAAATTCTGACTGGATATTCTCCTTATTTCAAATTAATTCAATTGTTGAGCTAGAAGTTGCATAGAACTTGACTAATATATTAACTACAATTCACAACGAACTTCCTTTGTAATGTCCTTTATACGTTCTATGTATTTCAGTAAGCTAGGACCATACTTGGCCTATAACCAAGGATCTCCCAACTAGGACTAGGACCAAACTAGGACTAGCTAGTTCTGAAAGTGATTGAATTTCAATGTACAATGGTCTATTGGACAGAAAATAGTTTGTACCATTTAATTTGACATAAACAGTCAATATTTAAGTTCGAATCTAAATCGCAATTTTGGCTGGAGTATGTCCTTCTTAAGCTCCATTGAATTTCAATCAGAAATAAGGTTGAATTTTATAAAACATACTAAGTGGAATGCATAAGGAAAGAATCCAAAGGTCCCAAACTTGTGTCTTTCACTAGTCCTAACACTACCTTGGTCAGAAAACACCGTAAACCACAGTGTTGTGTAGCGTTTTTCATACTCAATTCACATCTCCACCAACGAACGCTCTCTAAATGCTCATTTGAACTTGAACAGGATTTAATTGGGACTCAATACGGAAATATTTGGTCAGAATCCTAATGGTAATCAAATTTGAGATTGCGAGTTTAAATAGAGTTCCTTTCCCAATATATACTTGCAATTCAATATGAGCTTTAACAGGATTTGATAAGGAAAGAACCCATATTCTCTAGACAAGTCTTCTTTGCAAACGCGAGTCCAGGCCCGAGTGAAACCCATTGAGACCGACTGAAATTTCAGTTGAGCCTGGGTTCAAGATTCCCTAGAAAACTTTGACCTGCAATCTTGAATGTGGGCCTAGATTGAAACAGATTGAATGAATAATCAGGACTTGGATGCTTGCACAACACTGTGCTAAAGTACAGCCGCGCAAAGTGCAATGTTGAATTTGGGCCTCGATTTAAACCGATTTAAATCGATTTAAGTTTAAATCGGGCATGGATTCAAGATTCAAGATTCAAGAATCCAGGCCAAACTTTTCCAGGGATTCTTGAATCCAGGCGTCGGTTTAAACCGATTTAAACCGATTTAACTTAAATCGGGCATGGATTCAAGATTCAAGATTCAAGACTCCCTGGAAAAGTTTGGCCTGGATTCTTGAATCTTGAATCCATGCCCGATTTAAGTTAAATCGGTTTAAATCGGTTTAAATCGACGCCTGGATTCATGAATCCCTGGAAAAGTTTGGCCTGGATTCTTGAATCTTGAATCCATGTCCGATTTAAATTAAATCGGTTTAAATCGGTTTCAATCAAGCCTGAAGCTTCCAGAACGTCCTTGGAAATGCTTCTTTTTCATTGCTCTCCCCAAAGCCCAAAAAAGGGCAGAAAACACTGCAAATTCCAGTGAATTCATCAAAAAGGTAGGTCCCTGGGGGGGGGGGGGGGGTACCATATATATATATATATATATATGGTATCCCCCCCTCCCCCGTGCCCCCATTTCTCTGTATTTTAGAAACTGGTTTCGGGATGGACAAGCAAATGACACAAAGAGGGGGCACTCAGGAGGTGACGGATACTGGAATTCTAAATACTAGGCAATGTTGGGTCTTGGATCTAAGGGCTGAATACCGGTATCTAAATACTAGTATTTAGAAAACTCAATACCAGTATTTTGCTTTTTGTGGGGGACATTGTTGGATCCAAGGTTGCTCCCAACGGTCCCCCACAAATCCGGCATTTTGGATCTAAATAGTGTGTTGGAGCAGATGAATTTCAGCACTCATAATTTCAGGGCGCAAAGTGACGAACAAGTTTCACGACCATTTGCATGGGCAAGCTTCAAGGTTCAATTTCGGGATTCTGATCGAAGCTTTCCTGTGCAATTGTGATTCTTGAATCTTGCAAAGAAGCTTTTCCTTTTTGTTCCAAGGGTGCCCAAAATTCCTTTGTTGGTCCCGTTTCCGTTTTTTTCCCGAGGTCTGGAATGTTTGCATCTTGAACGGAACGCTTGTTTTCTCTTATTGTTGTAATGGAATTGCATTCTGTCCAAAACCGGCTTCACACACACACACACTATAGCCTTAAACTGACTCTATGGTCTTTTTCTGGAGTCAAGATCTTGGAGCAAGCTTTTCTGAGCAATTGCGAATCTTGAATCCAGAAATATGCAGTTCTTTTGTGCAAGAGGTACCCAAGTTGTCTTTTTTGCTCAGAGATACTTCCTCAGAGATACTTGCTCGGAGATACTCGCTCAGAGAACTTGCTCGGATCAACTTCCTCAGAGAACTTGCGCAAAACAAACATGCGCAAAGAAATGGCACTGAAGGACTCAGCTTATTCTGTGCAAAATAAACACGGCTGATTTTGCTGCGCCGACATATTCTTGCCTGCTGCATTCTGTCCACCGCCTTCTCATTTCTTTTGTTCAAGGAGTACCTACGTTTCCTTGCGTTGGTCCAGTTTCTATCATTTCTAAAGGCTTCTAGACTGCAACAATAGTTGAAACACTACAGCCTGTTTGTTCAAACAATTCAAAACGGTGGCACCTGCTGTAAAAATAGTCAACACTCTACAGCTTGTGCGCTTGGATCAGGCAAAATGGGGGCTGGGGGGGGGGGCTAGCATATCTAGGACCCCCCGCCCGCTAAAAAGGTCTTTGTTGCATTGCATTGTTTGCCATTGTTCGCAGCGCTGCATGAGCTGGAGCTCGCATGCATCCTGAAGCTTATGCTTTGGGCCTTGAATCACCAATCACCTGCTGAAACCCTTGCTGGGTACTGTCCAGAACCAGCTAGATTTCATCTACAACCTCATGCTTGGGGTGTTGAATGCCCACACCAAGTCATGTTCTTCTTGATCATGTGGTGGAACACCTTGGCTAATCGGACATGCGTTGCACTCCGTAGTCCTCATGACGCTCCATACCAGAAGCTTTGGACGGCCATTTGGGTACTGAAGCAGGCAGTGAAGCCAAGCGCAAAAGTCCAATTCACCAATTGCGAAATCCGAGCGTGCCGAGCCGCACGCTTCAGCCAATTCGAGGGCAAGCTGATGGCGAAGGAGCTCCTGATGCGCCTGCGCACCGAGGCTCAGGCGTGAATCACCTCGGACATGTTGGCCTGGGGTTCTCAAAGGAATCGGTCAACTGCAACAGTTTGCTTCTGGTGTCCAACTAGAGCCAACCAAACGGGTGTGGACATGTGTTGACTTGTGGGTTGTGGGACATCTCCGCTGACCTACATCAATCTAAACCAAGCGTGAAGCCGAAAACCAGCCCAAAGCCATGAGACGTTCGTGAGCGTGAACGCAGGGCGCACCATCGCGCTGAGAGATTAGACTAGATCAGACAAGATAGGCAGATTAGCTTAGTTAGATAAATAAATACATGGTTGTTGTTGGGAAACATTTTACATTTTGCTTATTGTGGTTTAGTGGGAAATCCCCACTTAACTGCTAGAATTTTAATTGTTGCTCCCCTTCCAACGTCAACCAAGGATAGACAGGTGACAGGAGAGCTAGACAGGTAGATGTGCAGGTAGTCCAGCTAGACAGACAGATGGGTGATAGATTAGACTAGTTCAGAACCGATAGAGAATTAGACTGGTAGCACAATAGATGCGCAAATGGGTGCATGGATGATGAATGGGCAGGCCCAGGGGGTAGATAGAAGAACCAATAGGCCAACAAGCAGGTAAATGGACACAATGGTAGCTTTGGGCAATTCTTTTGCCGTCGTGTTCGTGCAGGTTTGCTTGTTTGCTCGCGCGCTTCTGTGCGTGTTTGCTTGCTTGCCAGTTTGCTTGCTTCTGCGCTCGGTTGCTTGTTTGCTTGTTTGTTGGCTTATGCGTTTGTTTGTTTGTTTGCCTGTTTGTTTGCTCTTGCGCGCTTGCTTGCTTGGCTGGTTAAGTTGGTTGGCTGTTTGGCTGGCTTGCTGGTTGGTTGGTTTTGCGCGTGCGTGAGTTTTTTTCAAGCTTGCATCGAATCCATGTCAGCAGTTCTGAACTGCAGCTGCAGGCTGCTTGTTGACTGTAGCCAGGCGCAGTTGGATGCGGCTGAGAGCAGCCAAGTTGGCGACTGGCAAAATCAACCTGAAGTGCCGGGGAGCATGAATTTGCGCAGTCGAAGTTGCAGAAGTGAAAGCCGGGAGCAACTTACAACATTTAGATGACCATTTGATTGCCCCGGGGCCGGCACAGCGACCCGCCATTGCTGCCACTTTGGAGCATGCGCGCAACGCAGAGGGCCTGCGGTCAGACGCATGACCCGCCGGGTATGGCCCAAAGCACGGGGCTGGGGCATGAGAAATATGACTGCAGGCGCGGATCGTTCAAGTTCATTCACCATGCCTGGGTCGACCCCTCACAGCACGCAACTAGAGACCTGCCGTTTTGTTTGGCAAAGGCCTGGGACTTGGCATTCCGTTTTTGAATCTCGACGTGTTTGCAGCCCACAAGTTCACTTCACGCCAGCGCTGGCATGGCCACGGATATGGAGGCCGCCAAAGGACCTGTGACAAGTCCTGCTATTCGCTTGAAATTTGAAAGCTATTGCATCACCGGAATTGAGAGAACTTATTCTTTCCATGAGATGCGAAAGGCACCTTTGTGCTTGAGGTAGAAGCGATTGAGGTCTGTTTCCTGGATTGGAAGCAAAGGCCAATCTGAAGTGCCTGTCCTTGTTCGTGCACGGCCGAAGCTTGGAATCCCGTCTGGGATTCTTTCATTCAATTGGAGACAGACCTGAAGCTCCAATCAATCGTAAACCAAGTTTTCCCACGGCCTTTACGCTGATGATCCTTCAACAGGGGTGCGGGCAAACCAGGAAGGGCTGAGCATTCAATTATTGAATATTTCATTTAGGCACCCTGCTAGCCAAAGACCGAGCATATCAACCCATGTGTGAAGAACGCCTGGGGTTCCGGTCTCGGTTTCCACTGCGATCGAGCTTGTGTGGCGTGTTCATATTGATATCATGGAGATAGCTTCATTGCGTCAGAGGGGGAGGCAAATAACGCCGGCACAGGACAACATGCTGCCAAGAATGCAGCGCTGACTCTGATTCGAGGCCACCTCTTTGCTTTACTGAGTGCTGCAGTCATTGCTCACGGTGTAGCCGCTTCGCCGCAGAGAGGGAGTTGCAGAGTGCAGATGTACATGGAGTTCTTCGCGTGCAGCTGATAGGTGGATCGCCTCACCCAAAAGCCTGACAGTGCCTCTCCTGGGTATGGCTTATTTAGGCCACTGCCTCACAAACCCATGGAAGCCCACGAGCACAAGCCCTCCAATCTATTCCGGGCTGAGCGTACATGGCCGTCAGGCAAGTCGGCTCGCGTGGAGAACCCTACGGAAAGGCAGGCACAACAGGCTGCTGCCTGGGTCGAGGAGGCCAGGAGAGGAGGAAGCTAGTTGATAGGCTGGCAACCATATGTCTGGCTGTTTTTTGCCCGTGCGATCAAAACCGTGGGCCGATTTTGCTTGGCATTCAACCCTTCTTGTCCTGAATGCTAGAAGGCTTGTTGTTTAGGCGTGTTGTGGAACGTCATAGCTGTGTGATTTGTCCAACATATGTGTGCAACCTGCATGCTATTGGCATAGAACTTTAAGGTGGGATCATATTGCTTCTCAAGGCAGGAGGTCAGACACAAAGTGACTCTTGGAGCAGTGTGTACATTTCAACACCGCTGGAAGTCTGACACCTCAAATCACTAGCCACTGGGCATAGGAAACACACTGGTGGAAGCGACTGTTTTGCACGATTCCATATTTGAGATGGTGCAGGCCTGCTGAACACTCAGGTGACTTTAGTGAGAGACTGAAACCACCTGCTGATAGCAAGTTGGTGAAGGGTTTCCAGGGGATCGTTTTTTTTTTTTTTTTTTTTTGTGGGGGGGGGGGGCACATTTCGAGCCTCGTGCCTATCGAGTCTTTGGAGCAACCCGATTACATGTTCAGTGTTAGCTGTTTGGGTTCGGCTTGGAGCGACGACATCGATGATACTGCTAGCCGTGAATAGCTCGGTGCAACTTTAAGCAAAGTGGGTAGATGCTTGGTGGGAATGATTGTTGCCTTGCAAGTTCTAGAGTATGGTTCGACACGACACACACCACAGCTACAAAGTATCACATGACGATGCCCGAGCGCATATGTGGAACCTAGACCTGACATACCTGCAAACTGGAAAAGTAAGCGGATCTGTTTGCGCTCACTCGGTCTCATTCCTGGCTCTATGACAGCCTCCTTGTCGGGTCGCAAGATGTTGGCCTCCCAGTTGTTGACATGGACTGCGAGACTTTGGTGAACTTAGTGCTTTGAAATGCAATTCACCATATGCCACTCGTATAATTGTTTGTGATTGGATTGTCAACATTTGAGGCTTCACGCCATGCCAGCAGCAAGGAATACAAGCCATACACAGCCGCATACATCAGTCATGTAGCCACATAAGCAAGATAATGTCTGAGCACTTTGCACGTGCGACATCAAATCCAGGTTTTTTCTCCTTGGTCAGTCAGATTTGGAAATGAACACTGCAAGCGGTGCCATTGTTCCAACATACACAATGGGTTGTTCAAAATCAAATGCCAGCTGGTGGTGGTGTCCTTTGGTGGTGCTCCACTACAGATTCCAGATCGAGGTCCCCCGCCATTTGAAAACGCTAGACTTAGTAAAGTGGGGGCAGCAGGAGGGTTTTGACACGCTGTCTCGTTGTTGACAGGTTTTGACATGCCCCCCTACCCCCTGCTTTTTCCCCAAAATACGGGCTCATCAAGGGCAAAAAGGAGGAAATCCGGCGGGCGCTCGGGTTCCGGAGCCTTGGGATCCGCTTGGCCAGACGCGTCATAACTGGAGACGGAACTTCGCCCGGCGACATGAGCCCTTGCTGCTTGGACTGAAGGCGTAAGCCTCGCTTTCCCCGGCAGTGTCTCAAAATGGCGGACCCGTTAGCGCCTATTTCAAGAAACACCGCATTTGAGAGGGAATCCGGATCACTTTGGGGAGAACCCCCTCATTAATCCAAAAGCATCAATTGCCCCCCCCATCGTCCTGGAGCCTGATAGAGGTTCCGGGAGCCTTCAACACATGGCTTCCAGGTTGGTTGCAGGGAGGGCAATATTGTGTTGTGGACGCCTCAAGCTTCTAGGCATTGCCTTCTTAGGCATGCTATTTGCATTATGTGATGGGTTGGTCTCGGAAAGACTGTAGAGCGGAATAACAGTTAGACCAGTGCATATCTGAATAAAACATATCTGTTAGGTGCAGAGAAGCTCATGTGATGTGGCGCCCGAACGGTTTGCTTCCATTGCGGAGTGCTGGACGATTCAATGGACATTGCCTCCTGCAATTGATGATGTTGACGATTCTGAAAGCATTTGGCAACTATTCCTGCGAACTTTTGCAACGGCTTGACTTCTGCAGAGGTGATTTGGCGGCCAGCACTCACAGCTGTTGAATGCATGCGTTTGGTCTCAAAGCTAGCTCGCATCTTGTGCCATTGCGCAAGTTTGGCAGCCTTCATTCAGGATTGAAGATGTGGCTTTCATCTCCCCAACACAAAGCAGTAGTACAGGAAAGCGAGACCGGCATGAAACGTCAACAAACATGGGGCAGGCAGATATTGCGTCTTGGGGTTCGAGGAAGCCCTCGCATGTGGTGCTTCTTGCGAACATGTTCGTTCGCCTTTTCGACAGATTGCCAAGTTTGGTTCTCAGCCGCCCATTCCCAACTTGTAAAATCAAGGGGTCTTCGCGGGGCGACTGGGACGGAGAATTTGATCATTCTCAACCAGGAGAGCGGGCCGAGCCTCCGCGCTGCGCCTAGGAACCAACCGGAAGGGCTCAATCCTTTGGATGTCTCCCACACCAGGCTGGAAACATCTCAATAGCACAGGCAAAACTCCTGCCAAAAAAAAGGGAGCAATGCTGACATGAGGTTCTGTCAATCTTGCCAGTAGCCTATGATTCATTTTGAGGGCCACAGGAAACTCACTAAATTTCCCCGCAAGAACCAGGTCACTATTATAGTGTTCCCATGCCCTTTAGGGGAAACAAGCAATTTTGACCATTTCTCTCATATTTGTTGAAGACCGGAAGCTTTTGGGCATCGATATGCAGGAGTCCGCGCTTTGTGCGCAGGCCAAAGGAGCTCTGTATACAAGAACACATGGCCAGCCGGGTGAAGCTCTTTGGGAAAGTGGCACACCAGAGACCTGAGAACCAGGTGAAGTTTCCTTGGCCAAGTCAACTCTTCCCAACCCGTCGCGTCAAACGGGTCCTCTGTCAGGTGGCTTTGCCCCACCGCGCGTGTCGACCGAAAGGAGTTTCATGGAATCAGGAGCGGCTTCGGCTTCGCAGGGCCAAATGGCGGGGTTCCTTGTGGCCCTTTCCAAACAGGATAAGACCCAGATTTTGGGGAAGTCCGCTTCTGGACTCACCCACAGGGAGCTTAAACTAGGGAAAATGACATCACATGGTTTCCTTTGGGTTTCCTTGAAAAGCGACACCCATCTCATTGGAGTGATGTTGCCCTCACCGGTACCGCCCCCCCGCCCCCCGGATCAAGCAGCCACGCCAACCTGGAACCCGCGTTTCGAGCTTGGACACTGCACACTTAGCCATCTACCATCAACAAGCCACTGAACCTGCATCGAATCTCCCCTGAACGTTTGTTGGCAGCCTTAAAGGCGGATGGAAACCTGTTCGATTGGCCGCCTCTATTCAGTGGTTTGGCGGAGTTTCTTTTGCTAGCCCTGTGGCAGGAACGCGCGGATGCAAGAGGCAGGCTCCCTCGGGCTGCAACCCCTCAGGACGAAACCCTTCAGGCCCCCAGTGCGCTTTATGTGTGTTCTCCGTTTGTGGGGGGTATCGCAGAAAGGGTTCCACAAACACTCCATGAGTGCAGCTCTGGAAACAGAGCGTCGTTTTTTTTCGAACCGAAACTCCCATGTCAGACCCTCCCAGATCTTTCACAAATGCCAAGGTTCAAGCTAGAAAAGTTTGCATCATAGGGGGGGGAACCCGTTTGCCCGAAGTGCATTCACGGAGTGAAAGAGTCCTTGCGAGTGCGATGCATGCGGGAAACCGCACATGAGCAGCTGGCAACTTTGCCGGTCTATTGTCACTCTGGCGAGGCCATGCGCGGCCCACCGAACTTCTCACAACCAGGAGAGGGCCCCTCAATGCTCCATGTTCTCTTGGAGGAAGAAACAATACAGTATTGTCTGGGCCTCACGTGTGAAGATATATCAATCATGATACACAACTTTGTTTTTGTTCTTGGCAAGATCGCACCACTTGACGTATGGGAACGTTGTAACGTGTTCAACTCAGTGCTTGTCCAGCTGTGAATCAGCTTGAATGGGTCTTACGTCATTCCAAGAGGACCCCCACCACCCCCCAAACTTCATTTTGCATCTCTCTTGTCGTTTTACAACCCTCTGGGCGGGGGGCTTGGAGTGGAAACCCGATTAGATTGGTTCTTTCTCTGCATTCCCGCCAGCACTGGGCTGTGGAAGCACGGCAGCGCTGGCATGAGAAGAACCCCAAGCCCACGTGCCTTGGCAGTTCCCATCCCAGGGCGCAAGCGATATCTTGCATTTCTCAAAAGTTAAGACATCGCTTGGGGCCAATATCAAAAGGATATCATTTTGGTGGAGGTGATCTTAAAGTGGCAAATGTCATTAGTTGTGACAGCCAGATGGAAAAATGTTCAATCAAGAGGTTTGCTCAACCCTGCAAGGGTGGCTAGCTGGCAGTGGGTGAAGGGTGCTATGGTGCTAGGGAGAGTGAGTTGGCTGATGTTGGCAGTCGGGCACGTTGCGGGACCGGGACAGGAGGCACAAGTTTCTCTCAAGAACCTCGCCGTGCTTCATTGTGGCCATGGCTGTTGCAAGCAAACCTTGAACAGGCTTGCTTGAAGGTTCTTGCTTGTGCCTGGCATGAGCGGCATGAGTTACAATCAATTGATCACATGCACCCTTTCACCTGACCCTTTTCTGTTTTGAAATGTCCAGCCAATGCGTCCTACGATGCATTCAACGAGCAACTCAATGAAGCCTTCGATAGTTTTTTTCATGGCAGGGCCCGACCCACCAAGGTGGCGTGAGCAAGCCGTGGATTTGACCCTGGTTGCGTGATGGCTTGACATATAGATTGGCTGATGCCCTCGCTGGTGCGACACGATGCAGGGTGAAGGTCTTGATAGGACAAACCGATCCATGAAAGCCTGGAGTCTGGACATGGGCAGCTTGGTTCATTGTGTAGGGTCAAAGAACCATCGTGGCCTTCCAAGCACAAATCTTGCCATCAGCCTATGCCTGCAAATAGTGTGCCCTGAGCAAAACCGCGCCTCGCCTCAAAGAGGGGGCATCCGGTTTTGCGGCACGGTTTTCCAGCGAAGGGCGAGAGGGGCCCTCTTACAATGACATGCTGGACCCAAAGTTTAGATCTAGTCCCTGGTACGAATGTCATTTCTTACACCCTCTTTCCAACAATCGTGGAAGTGGGCCGGTGGGTCTGGAAGACACCTCTGGAAATGGCCCCTTCTCCACCTCCATGATTGCTGAAAAAAGGGTCCATGGAAGGCGGTTTGATCATCCAAGAGCTTTTCTGTGTGTACTGCCTGTCGTCTGGGATGCCAGGGACAAAACAGCTGAGCCAAACTCGTTTGTGTTGCCAAATGGCCAACGGATGCTGTTGACAATCGTGGATTGCCTGCCACTTGATGGCGAAAAAGGCGGGGCGCTTCTGGAAGAAGTGTTGCAGTTGCCTGGGGTCAGAATCATTGCTTCCTTATGTCATTCCGGGAAGGGGGGACTCTGAATATCATGGTTCACTGCATCACCCCATTTGGAACAGCTCAATTTAGAAACAGATGAGCACTCAACGTTGACTCTTAGCCGCTTTAACCCAAATTTAGGCGTGTTGAGTGGGCTAAGTGAAGGGGTCCCCACTGTCTCAAATCATGACTTCAAGTCGGGCGACTGGTCTACTTTTTGATTTACATCGCAGGTTGTCCTGCCGGTTTGTGCCAGCAGATGAGCCTCCTTGATTTTGAAACTTGGCTTCATCCTGCGGCTTGGTCATTCTCTCTTGAGACACAATTGGAGTGGTGATCTCAACTTAACACCTATCGGGTCCTTTTTCCCGGAAGCATTGCGAAGGGTTCTTCTTCTAAAAGCGGCTGCAAACTTCACCTGCCAACTTCTCATGCCAACTTGCCAAGGAGTGATTTCACCTGCCAACTTCTCATGCCAACTTTTCGAGAGTTACTTCACCTGCCAACTTTTAATGAGACAACACCCAAAAAGTTGACATGAGAAGTTGGCTGTTGGCGAAGAACTATCGAAAAGTTGGCAGGAGAAGTTGGCAGGTGACATAGCTCTCAAAAAGTTGGCAGGTGAAGTTGGCATGAGAAGTTAGCAGGCGAAATAGCTCTAAAAATCCGAGAAAGTGGCTCACTCCGCCATTGCCCACAAACCCATGCAGCTGGAAGTCTTCCAAGAGGCGGCAGTGGCACGGGGCGGTGGAGCGAGGGCCCGTGAGTTACCCAGAGCCGGGGTCGAGAGAAACACGTGTGGTAAACCTTGACACAAGACCCGTTTCCGAGCAACCTCCCGGCCCCGACCGACGTGAAGACTTACCCACAGACACCCTCGACCATTTGACATCCCCCCCACGCTTTTGGGCTCTAGAGTTTAACTGGCTAACGAATTGCGCTGGAGTCGTCGCTCCGCAGAAAAAAACGAAGCTTTGCGAGAGAGAGAAAATTGACAGCTGGAAGGGCTCACACCAGAAAGACGCAGCCAGAGCGCTTGACTCGCGGAAGCTGGTTGAGTACACCATCCGCCGCAGCCTTTTTCGCTCACTGGGTCGCCAAGTGCTAAGGAGAGTGGCGCCCTACGCGCCTGGGCGCCGCCTAGCCGCGGGCGCGGAGGCAGCCGAGGCGCCACGGACGTCACCCTGATCGCCTTGGCGACGGCGAGGACGGCCACGGAAGCGGCCGCAGCCGCGGTCGAGGCTTCATTGGCCGACGACTTCTCCTCGTCGGCCCAGGACGACGGCCCGGAGCAGTGATCGCCCACCCGCTGCAGAACAACGGCAACCGTTGCTGTTTCAGCGCGGAAGCGGAAGACTTGCCCGACAAAAAAAAAGTGGCGAGACGAGCCCAGAAGTTTCGCCAGCCTGAGACTGGACAGCTAACAGCTCGCCCCAAGCCCCAAGAAAGCATGGAGATCCTCAAAGTATTCCTTTTCGAGGGCAAACGCAAGAAAAAGATCGAAGCCAAATCCGCCCCCGAAGCTAAGGGGCGAAGCCAGGCAGGTTGCTCAGAAGCCAAGGCGCCGCCGCAGCCTTTGCAATCACAGTTCAGCTTGCCAAGTCCGCGACTCCCCTCAGCGCGGTTTGCCAGTGCCTGGGCCGCCTTCAAGAGCCTTGGGCTCCAACAGGCTGCTCTCGACCGGCCAAGCGCCCGAGGCGGCGCGGCGCAGCCGAAGCCGGGGCGGCAGCGTTGCGCCTTCTGCAGCGCGGAAAGCATGGCGGGCGTCTGCGCCGGGCCGGGCGGCCGCGGGCGGGCGCCTGGCGCAGCTCATCCGCAAGTTCTCCGTCGCCCAACGCCAAGGCGCCCCGGAAGGCAAAACCGCAGCGACACCCACGGCGCCCCCCGCCCGAGGCGCCCCTGAAGCAAGCTTGCGCGGCCACCTACGAACAAGCGGACGCGCGCGCGCCTCCAAGCCCACGCCGCGTCGGTCCGGCGCTGGCTGTGGCACAGCCCGTGGCGGGGGACGGCTCTTGCTTTTTTCGGGCGGCAAGGCAAACGGAAGAGGGCAAGGGAGGCCCACGTCGCCCTCCGTCGGGCGGCTTGCGCCCACCCAGCTGACCAGTGGGAGGCTTTCTGCGAGTTCTTTGTTCTGGGGCACCAAGAACAAGTTGCGGCGCGTCTACGGAGAAGGGATAGCCTGCAAAGCCGTCACGGACCTCCTCCCCCCCTGACCAATTCTTAACTTACCGGCGGGACTACCACCTCCAAGCCTTGCTCTATACATCTGCGTGGCTAAGACCATCTCCGCGGTGGCAGCTGTGGCAAGAGCTTGGCGCCGGACGAGGCCGCTGCGGCATGCTGGCACCACGAGACGCAGAAGCTTGGATGTCTGCTGCCAAATAGGCGGCTTCTGAACCTGTTCTTCACCGTGGCGCGCGGAGTGGCAATTCTGGCTGGACTGGGGCGTCCTGGGCGTGGAGGCAGAGGAAAAGGCGTCGCTGCGTGTCCTAACCTGGAAGAACTTGCTTGCCGAGACCCGGCGCCTGCTTGCCGGGACCCGCCCTGGAAAGAACTTGGCACTTGGCTGCCCGGACTCGGCGCCTATTCAGACCCGGCGCCTATTCATTTTTTAGACCCGGCGCCCTGCCTGATGGGACCAACAAACAACCAACGCTTGCTGCTTGCAGTTGCGCGTGACTTGTCGCTGCCACGTAAACAGAAAAGGAAAGGAAAAAGAAAAAGAACAAGAAAAGCTCACATGGCAGAAGAGAAGCAGGAAAATAATGCAGGTAGTCAGCCGAGCGTGTTTTTGTCGCAAAATGAATACCGTGCGGCGAAGAGGGTAAATAGTGTATCGCAGCGAAGATGTCTATAACTTTGCGGGTGTTACTTCGCTATCCTAAAAACACAAGCTAACTTTTCTTTTGTACCTTCACTTCTCAACTCTTAGTTCTTCTTCTTTTTCTGGCGGGGGTAGGCGCCCTTGTCGCCATCATCTAGCATGCAAGCATGCAAGCAGCACGCGAAGAGCATTCACGCAGCTCCGGATGGCAAATGGTAACTTTTTTGAGTAAAAACGTATTATGCAAAGTGCACTCCCATGGCTCTGGCTCAAAAATCGCAACTTTTAAGTACAACAGTAGTGCGCGACTGCAATCCCGCAGCTCCGGCTGAAACATCTCTAAGTTTCTACACGCAAAGGTCCGCGCGAAGTGCGCTCTCGCAAGCCCCAGCTCGAAAGTCACAGTTTTTCAGTGCAGAAGTAATGTTCGGAGAGTGCGCTCCATCATGTCCAGCTCGCAAATGGCAACTGTAAAGTGCAAAAGAAACACCCAGTTGCAAAAAACGTACGCACGCAAAAGTAGTGTGCGAGGTACACTTCCGTAGCTAAGACAGCCAGCCTTCTTGCCAGCCAAACTGCGCCTGATTTGGACAAGAGAGATTGACAAAAGAAACGGGCACAAAGAGTGGACAAGAGGCGTTGTAGAGCATCATTGGCAACACCACGCACAGCGTCACGCGCAACATGATTTGCAACATTATGCGCAGCATCGCGCACGGCGCCACGCACAGGTTCGCACACAGCATCAACTCACAACATCGCACGATACAGAAACTGACGCGAGACATTGCGAAGCGTGATGCTAAGCTTGCTCATCAGAACTTGCAGAGGCTAGGCTTGAGCAGGGACATTGACATCTTTGTTTCTCATGAGGTGGGGGGCGCCGGGCCACCCGTTGTCTAGTTGTTTGGTAAGATGTTGATTGACCTTTCAGCACCTAGGGTCACCCATGCTGTACATGCTTCTCTTTCTCGCGGCCCTCAAAGACGACTTCAAAGCCTCTTCACCATAGCTTGCCAAGTTGCCCAAAAAACCAGCTAGTTCTTATTGGCTAACATGGGTGGGGTGGGTAATAGCTTCCGGGCTGAGGGTGGCAACAGCTCCTTGGGTCGGGTTCTGTTTTGGTAGCCGCAATGACTGGATCCAACTTTGCTGCCAGCATCCTTGCAGGTATCCTTATCAGGTCGAAAAGTTGGTGGTTGCTTTCCTCGAGTTGTGCCTTAGTTGGGCCAAGCTGAACTGGCAGCTGAGTGCTCCCACAGTTTCTTCCCTTGCCTTGAGCTTCTTGGCCCAGCGATGTTGCGCAGCGCAGCCGCGCTCATGTCCAGGTGGGGAGCTTCCCATAAAGCGGCTGGTACGAGACGCTGGTTTAGGTTCCCTTGTCTTTTGATTGCCAGGTTGGTATCCACGTCATGCTTGTAATGTAGTTGGTTTGTGTTATTTGAGTTCCAGTCAATGAATGTCACATTGCCCTGAATCTGTCATAGATGTTGCCATTTGCCTTCAGAAAGTTGTGGTATGTTCGAAGTGCGGTCAAGTCAATCTTGAGCCTCATATGCTTACAGCTTTGCACGCGCTCGTTGCAGCAGGTGTTTGGCATCACTCCTAAAATCGTTCAAGGGCAGATGCGAGCAACATTTGGTTCTTGAATCGAGGTAAAGGCTTGAGTACGGACCCGACACTTGGCCATGTGATTGCCACTCCTGCCCGACTTCTTCTTGGATTTCGGCTGAGCCCTGCTGCGAGAGTGTTCCTCTTGTCCTTCGCCAAGCGATAGGTCGCTGGAACACAAAACGGATGGACTCACGCAAACAATCAGCAAACAAACCATCAGAATGCGGCACCAGTATTCAATTGAATCTCACACGCACTCAACCTGCAAAACGTGTTAGCTCTCGACCGATGAACTGCTTCGTTTGCTGCGAGCAGAATCCTGCTGACATGGCCAGGCGTCCCCCCCCCCCGGATTGCGTTGAGCTGCACTGCGTCGCCTAAATTGAAATCCGGTCCTTGTCGCGACCCACAAAATGGGAATGGCCTCCCTACGTTCTATAAGAACCTCTCAAAGCACTTCCACGTTTTGAGTTCATCTTGGAAAGTCGAGCAATCTACCGGCTCCGAGCTCATCACACCAACTGTTTTTTTGCATTGTCAAATTGAGACTCTGCAAAACGGGCCATGGACAAGTTTCTTTGCTTTAGGCAACCACTCTCTATTAAAGAAATCCCCTGATAAGGGGATAGCCCACTTAGGCCATATCTGTGGGCCCTGAAAAGTGGCACGGCTTGGCTCGTGCACTCGCAAACTTGCCGCAAGCTCCAAATTTCATATGATATCTGCAGTAATCATGAGCTCACCAATCCGGGCAAATCCAGCGATAAGGTTTCTTACGGTTCGCCTGCATTTCCAGTGAGTGAATTCAGTGCCGAAAATGATGGATTGGTGCACATGTATGCATCGTGTTTTCGGGATTTCCTTGTTTCAGGGTTGCCTCCTATTCTGCGAGGTTCCTGCAAGACAAAATTTAAGCATGAGATACACGTTTACAAGTCTACTACTATTAAATTGAGTTGAGAGCCATTTCCAGATTTCAGTTTGGTGGGGCGTTGGCTGCTCTTTCCGAAGAGACCATCTCATGTCAGTCGAAGCCACAAGATAAGTTTTTCAATATGGGGGACTTCCGCATTTGGTGGTTCCTTCTGGTTTCCATTTCAATCCCAAAAAGGGTAATTGCTAAAAACCAGATACACCCAAATCAAAGCGGGTGCTTCGGAAGGGATGCCCCGTGCAGGCAGTTCGACTATGTGATCGTGGGTCGCTTCCTTAGGGTCGGCTTCTCCGGTTGACGGAGCTCGCAAGGGGCAGAAGTTCTGATTCCGAGCGCGTTTTTGGCATCTCTGAGAAGCTCAGACATGAGGGTCGGAATGGCTCCCTGCTTTTTTTTCTGACCGATTTGCTACTCAGGGCTGACATTGAATATGGTGAAGCGAGGGGGCATTCATCGGACGGATTTTGACCTTTGTTCGTATTAGATCTGGCCTACTGCATCTGCAGTGAATGTAGTTCTTTGCACACTTGCTCTTGAAAGCTATTTGTTGAGAACTTCAGATCATAGATGGATGCGTCCTTCGCGTATCAGAGAGAACTATTTGCAATTTGGCCCATGTCAAACTGCAGACTGGACATTTGGCCCGTGACATGGCCCACACATTGTCAACTTTGGACCAATAGAATCCTTGGCGCTCCAAATGTAAGTCAGACTCTCTTGACAGGTCCACTTTTCCTTACGGGTGTAGCACGGTGTAGCACGGTGTAGCACGGTGTAGCAGAGGGAGACGCCTCCACGCCAGTCTTTGCCGAGAAGTCTCAGGACAAAGAGACTAAACGCATTTGAGGTTTGGTCAACGTGTCCTTATTCGTCTATGGTCCACTTGGGAGGGAGGAGGTGAGGGACGAGCTCTAATGTTTCACGGAGAAACAGGGGGGCGGGCCCTACGTTTCCCATGTCCGCTTGGGGAAAGATGTTATTTTGACCTTGGTCCATCATGTGTGTGTGTGTGGGTGTGTGTGTGTGTTTTGTTTGTTTGATTGTTTGTTTGTTTGTTTGTTTGTTTGTTTGTTTGTTTGTTTGTTTGTTTGTGTTTGTTTTTGTGGTTGTGTTTGTGTTTGTCTGTGTCTGTGTCTGTGTCTGTGTGTGTTTGTGCGTGTGGGTCATCTACCTTTATGCAGATATAATGTAGGTATCTCCGATGGTCAGCATCATCTAGCATCATCCAGCATCATGCACGGCGAGAGACATCATGGGCGCTCCGTGCATCAGATCAGCAATTGCTTTGTACTCGCAGAAATTGGTGAGAATGTGGACCAGCGTCACAGGGATGACGATGATGAGGATGATGATGATGATGATGATGATGATGACGATGATGACGACGACGACGATGACGATGACGATGACGATGACGATGACGACGATGACGATGACGATGACGATGACGATGACGAGCAGCTAGCTAGCCCCCCCCCCGCCCCAGGTGTTGTGAATCTTGGTACACCCCAACCGACACTGCCAGCCAGTGAACAGTGGAGGTTTGGAACCTGCATATCCGAAACCAACAGCTCACATTTTGCTACCTTGCAGCCGCCGCGCCGCCGCTGTGAGCGTATTGAGCACAGAAAATCCAGCGCCTGCAGGATTTTTTGCATGGAGCTTCAAAGTCGGGGTCGAATCCCCAAAAGAGACTCCTTCTGAAAAATCATATGTGTTTTGGGGCATGTCAATCTGGGGAGTACCGAATTTCCCGCAGAAGTCCGGCAAACATGAGAAAGCATGTCTTGCTTGGGGTTTGCTCAGAGTCGGTCTTAGAAACCAAAGGGACGCCACCGCATGTTGACTCCCTTTGACGAGGCGTGTCCTCGTTTCGCCACGGACGAGTGAGGCGGCGGCACCGCAGCGGGCTATGCGTGCCGGGAGCTGGCGGCGCAAGGGTCCACGGTCGGCAAGGTGGCAGTGGCGCCCCGGCGGCTGGCTGAGGCGCTGGGCTGTTTCCTCCGGGTGGAACAAAATATGGTTGTTTGTCTCATGACCCCCACCAACACACAAAAAAAGTGGTTTTCTGTATGGTTCCATTCACATCCCGTTGAGCATCCTCAATGACACGTTTCAACCACCAGGGCCTGGTACCCTTGAAGGGAAGCCAACAACTCGTTTGCTTGCAGTAAATGAAGTGATTCGCAACCAGGAACCCAGATGGGTTTGTATCCAACGTATGGCCTCGGGGCCATGTCAGACATATGTTGTGCTTGGAGACATGAACATCACTGAAACCATCTACGCTTCCAGCATGAGATATTTGGGGCAACTCAAGACATGACAGACAAAAGCACCAGAAGAAGGCTGGGAGCACTCTCTATCAAGATCATTGCGAGGCCCTGTGTTGCAATCCGTAGTCTGACAAGGCAATGGGGGGGTGCAGAAAATGGGTGACCTTGGACATCAAATGGCGTAGTGCTCTGCATAAGACCAAGTCGAAAACCCGCCGAAAGACGGGATTTTCTGGAACAGGTTGGGGTTGCAATATTCGGTGTTTCAGGATCGCTGGCAAACCCTGTGGATCCAAGTACCATGATAGGTAGCCAGAAAAACTTTGCCAGGCTTTAAAGGGCTTTTCCCTAATCGGGGCTCGATGCCAGAAGATTTGGCGGCAACGCAGGCTGGACCTCATGGCATGGGTACCAGGTTGGCTTGAAATTGGCAGGGGGCCTTCGAGAGGGATTTCTCAATTCCAGTCGGCCGCTGACAGGAAGCTGTGGCTGTGGACTTGGGTCCCTAAGGCCCTAACTTTGAGCCAACAAGCGTTATTCTGCTCTTTGACCCTCTTTCCAGCAATGGAGGTAGACGATCGGAGACCATCTTTTTTTTCCATCAAGCCCTGTGACTCACCTTGGCCACTTCCATGATTGAAAGGGTCCACAGATTGACATAGATTGACACGAGAGCAATCAGTAGAGGAGCCTCCTTTCTCAGCCGTCTTCTGGCACAAAAAGCCCAGGTGACTGCCGAGCCTGTGGCACCCTATGAGCGGCCAGCGCTCACAAAAGCGCACCTCGGAGCCACAGGTGCAGTCAACATGTCCGGATTTGGCTCATTGGTTTGGGCCATGGACGAGCTCCAAATTTCAAAGCCAGGGAAGTCACTCATGTTCCCATGTCTTGGGCAACTCCACAATGATTTCCTTTGTTTCCTCCGTGGCTCATGTCGGAGCAAACGTCACCCTCGAAACCCGTTTTGTCACCGGTGGGTTTCAAATACGCGTAGGCGATATCCCCAACAGCACCACACGTGTATGGGTTCTGCAGCCTTGCGGAACCCTCGCGGTATCCTCCGGAACCGTATGTTAGAGCCGCCCCGGACCACCCTGGAGCCTATCTGGGCTCATCGCTTTCAAAATAAGTTGCAACCCCACAATGGTATGAAGCAGAGTCTTCTTTTTGTGCCCCTGGCTAAGTCCGCCGGTGATTCCTGCCCGAAGCGTCAGTTTGTTTCTTGAGTTCGCTGGACTTTGTTGAATCGGTTGACGAATATCCACAAGAAAGTGGACTCCATGTTTGGGAGCATAGTTGTAACGACCAACCGTTTATTGGAGGCTTAGGGAAGGAGATGGAAGAGTGTGATAGATGGAAGGTGGCAAAGGCATGAAGAGATAGAACTCGCCTCTTCTCTCACCTTCCTTACCCATCCATCACTTCCTTGTCTTCTTCCTTCTCTAGACACAGAGGCTGTGAGAGAAGAAGAAAGGGAGAGAGTGAGAAGGAGAGGGGACCCAGGGAAGGCAGGAATCACATACCCATGTCTCTCTCTCTCTCTCTTTCTCGATTCTCTCGCTGCCATGACTTGCTCTCAGAATCTCTTTGGTGAGTCATAGGTGAGCCAATTCTCTAATCCTTTCCCTCTCAACATACGAGCCTTGTTTGTCCCAAGTTAGTGTCCTTTTTGGATGTCAATCTGTCCGCTTAGTTGGTTGTTGAAGGCAAGGCACCCATTCTTTGGCTGATCCTTTTTGGGTTATTCCACTTGACAAAGGCGTGCTGCGCTAAGTGAAAGCAGGACAATCCACTTTGATCTGAAAGAGCTTTTGACCATGAAACCTTACTAAACTTGAGAGAGCATCTCATTTTGGTTTGTGGCCGTTTGCCCGTTTCCATGCACCGGCTGAAGTGTCAAAGCTGGCAAGTCAGATCACATTTGACTGGCACTTTGTTGAGTTTGTTATTTTTGGAGGTATTTGTGCTCGTCCGCGAACTGGCAACTAGATGTGGTCCAAACATGTCCAAACGCTGTTTACAGCAGATTCGCCATGGATGTTTGCCACATTTATGCTGGTAATTAAAGGGGCCGCTTGACTACTCTAATGGTACAACCATGACACTGCAATTAAATCATTGGCTTCAAACTATCCCACGAGCCCATGAACATTCTTCTGGCGCTTGCAGCACATCTTCGGCATGCGGTTGACAAGACCAAACTTACCAGCCTTGCAGTTTGTCGCCCCAGGTATTTGCACCCGCCGACAGCCAAGGCAAGGACGTGGCTTCGCGTGGGTTGAAATATTTGGGTCCTGGTGCCCTTTTGGAAACCAAAATGAGGCTGTTAAAACAAGGGTCATAGAAACCAGCTTCAGGAAACTGGCCAAATACCCAGCAAAACCAAGCTGGTTTCTTTGAAAGAAGCATTTAGGCATGTTTAAACAAGGAGCTGGCCCACTTCAGGCCAGGCTTGTATGGCCGGACAAATTTGCACCTGTTCACATTGGGATAGATGAAAACTGGTGAACAAATTGGAGAACCAACCTACCAACTGATGCAGGATTTTGCGTATTCAGTGATTCACAGTTGTAAAGATGTATGGCCTTCTCAACTGAAGATAAAGCTAGCTCGTTGCGCGGGCTTTGCAATTATTGCAAATGTTGCAGAATTCTCAGTATTCTTAGAATCTAGAAGTCAAACATCTAGAAGTCTGAATTTACCCTATCAAGACATGGTTGCGGGAATGGCCCTGCTCTTCTACCAAAGTTGGCCAGGTTCACGACTACTTTATCACGTGAGGCTTCCTTGGAATCATGAATAAGAAGCTTCAAAACTAAGTTTCCACAACTGGTGGAAAATTGGGTTTTAGGGTCAGTTTCCGGACAAGCATGATCCAGGGTCTAGTCACGTCCTTCATTCGATGTTCGAAGCACAAGGTGCGCGCACGGCTGCCTGGCTTCCATACCTGCGTCGGTGGTGGCGGCGAGCGCCAGACCCCGGAATGGTATGCCGAGAAAGGCGGGGGCTGATGGGGCTGGAACCGCTGAGCTGAGCTGGGTGGCTTTCGAAGCTTGGTATCCAGCTCTTGGAGGTCCATGAGTTATGAGAGATTCAACCTTCAGTCATGCTGGAGAGATCTGGCTTGCCTGGTCATGCTTGGTCTAAAGCCTTTTTCACTTGCGGTTCGGCATGGTCATATATAGACTTGTTCAGGATGTTAGACAACCATTGCACGGTTTCCATGACGATGACTCACATATTTGGTGTTTTGACCATGGCACACCGGGTTTGCTGGCAGTTTTTCTGGTGACCGCGAGTTGCTTTGTTGCCTGACAACAATGGCAGCATTGAGCCCACCCGTTGCAGGCATCAGCTTTATCCAGGGCAAGGCCACATCCCTTGACCTGGAGTCCAAGGCCGTTAGCGTTGGGGAAGAAAAGATTCAGCCACTTGGCACAGTCTCCAAGCCCAAATGGCCCAAAGGTGCCCAAAGCTTCAATACAACTTTGCCGGTCACTGCTCTTCGGAGATGCTGAACACACGTCAGCACTCGTCATGATAGCTTGACAAGGGCCGGTATCTTTTCTGTCATAACGGCAGATCTTTGGCTGGCTATTACTCTGAATGCTTTCCCGCCATGCCTTGCAAACGAACAGCGCCAGCCCACCGATTCAATAGTTGCACGACATCAACATTCCCCTGACATTCTTACTCAGGTGTTTGTGCTTTTTTTGGTACCCTGTTTTGGGTGTGCTTTGAAGGGAAACCAGGAGGACCCCCCTCAGTTAAGGGCTTCCTTAGTTTGGCACACACACACACACATCCACACACCCAGTTAAACCTTTGCAGTTTGGGTACCGCTTGTAGTTTTGCTCTGTCTCTCAAACGAGATTCGGTCGCTCGAGCATCATGGTAGTACTTGTTAGCCGCAGTACAACTTGTTGAGACGGCTCGGTTCCCTCCTGCAATGTGTCCAAGGGGCAGGTGTGCACAACCGTGGGCTTTAGCTGCTTGTGAACATGGGAGATACATCAATCAGATCCATTAGTGCGGTACAAGGGGGTTTCCTCAGTTTTGCAGGAACCCGCAGTCAGATTCCATGGCACCGCGGGGAGGGTAACTTCAGGATTCTCTTGGGGTTCCATCAAAGTCCTTCAAACCCCAACCAAAACGGGCCCGCCATTTTAAGACGCAGGGGTTCAGTGCTGGGTTCCAGTGATCCAATCTGATTGAAGGCCTCGATCCAAGGTTCGGCAAGCTGATCCTTGCCACCGGCTGCCGACCCGTGCCATGGGACCGGTTTGGTCGAAACGTCCTGATTTGTCTATGGTCCATTTGGGGTTCGGCACATGAAACGCCGAGCACAGGCTCCAACCAGATCTAGACACTCTTTCTCATGTTTAGAAGGGTAAATATGATAGTGGCACATGTGGCACATTTGAGCGTGGGCTCCAGTTTGGATGCTTCTTCGCTGCCCTCCTTTGAGACCTCACCTTTTTCATTCCGACTGCTTGTCGAGGCAAAAAACGCAAGAGCCACTGCGGACCAAATCCACGCCAGGTGCCAGTTGGGGTTGTTGGTTTCACAGGTGAATCCAAAAACACGATTTGTGGAGGAATGAATTTGGAGGACCCCCTTTTGGGTTTCATGTAATTTGTGCGCAGTATTGGAAAGTACTGACTTTTGACCATCTTTTCAAAGTAGCTAACATCCCACTTAATCAAAAGGCAAGCACCAAATCATGGCTTTGCGCCAGATCATGGCCTTGTCGTCATTTCACAAGCCGTGTTTCTTGAGGAAGTTCACAAAAACATTCAAGGGCATGTGGGCATCTCCTGGCTTCATGTTAATCCCCCTCTTACCATCCAGAGCCCTGAGAGTTTGCCTTTCGACTCGGAGAGCCACCCATGCAACAGGAGCCACACCCTTTGGAGGACTCAGCATGTCCAATGAAAGCACCACAGTACATGCACCGCCTTCGGCAAATAACAGATTATATGAAGCTGCAGGGCGGCCACTTGACTGAAACCGAGGTTTTCCCTGGCAACTTGCGGTGAAGCCTCATTTGCTGACGCTGGGCCATCTCAGTCCTGGCTTTCCACCGGGCACCGCCCAACTGAAAAGATGACTCGTTGACGAGTCATTTTGGGACATGGGATTGGGGAGGACACTCGATGTCCTGCGTTTCCTTTAGTACGGAGCACCCAACTGAATCCTTACGGCAAGGAAGAATGACACTTGCTCTTGTAAGGCTAAGTTGTACCCTCAGACTAGTGGACGCAATCAACTGCAGGCGTTGCTTTCGCCCAAATCCGAACCAATTTGGGGGAAGCCGATTGTCGGTTTCCCACCCAGAGAAAACAAACGGGATATCGAGGTGTCGTGCCCCCGAGCGCTCTCCGTCCGAGGTGCGGCTTGGAGCCTTCGGCGTGAAGGGCGATGACTTGGCAAATGTGTGCTACCTCCGAGAGGATCGAGTCGACTCGCGAGCCCGAAGAGCTCAAGTGATGGCCATCCCATGGGGTGTTTTGCGATGTTTTGCGGCTACCCCGAAAGCGAACGGGGCCCCAGACAAAGAGGAGCCTTATGACAGTGGCCTTGGGGACCAAAAGCGAGAAACCTCCGAAATGGAGGGACGTGTGCCAAAAGTGGTCGGACTGATTGCACAAGTTTTGACGCTAAGGGCATACCAAAATGCGAAGGGCTTTGTTTCTCCGTTTCCCTTGCTCAACGCAGAGGTCCCATCGTGATGAGTCATGAGCAATTTCTTCGATTACCGTTCGTTGACTGAAGCCCCTCATGCCTTTTCGGCATGGCACACACTGGACACACAACTTCGGTTCGGGCTGATGGGGCATCGGGAGATTGTCAAAAGCATGGGTTGGATCAGCACACACCCAAGTCCCCCTTGAAGGGAAGGGAGAGACGGGGAATACGGGTCTTGCGCCAAAGCATGTCCATGGAAAATGGGATGCCTGTGCTGGCTAGGTTTTCTAGCTGCTTGGATGGCTTGGAAAGCCCACCGTGGTCATGCCCCAAATGTTGGCCATGTGATAGAAGTGGCTGGTAATTACTACAAAAGGGACCGCACTTGAACAACAAGACCGCTCGCTACACAACTATGCAAAAATGGTCATGCCTTTTGCCGATGTCACGACTGACTGGGCCAGCAGTATTCACATGTTGCCTGGTTTACAAAAGTTGGAAACTATGCCACGCGAACTAGTGGAGTAGTTACCTACAAAGGGAGGAGTACGCTGTATTGATGTTTCCCATAGCTTTGAGCTCCAATGGGGTGCCGTCTCACAGGAGAAGGATGCTGCAGAGTTAGTAGCAACCCTTGAGAAGGGCAAGACCAAGGCAGTCGTGGCCACTTGGCGCTAGCCAAGGCAACTCTGATTTATCGGGAACCACGGCCATTTTTGTGGTTTCATAGGGAGAGCAAGGCCTTTTTAAGCCTAAACAAATAATCAAGAATCATCTTGGTAAAACCACGAGTAGATGGGTTTTCGGCGCTGCTCATTTGATTTTTGAGCCCAGGCAACATCCGTTGCTTCAAGGTGAGCAGGTTACATTCCCAAACAAGAAATCGAAGCACGCTATTCACCGCAGATCCTCAGAGTATAAGTCGGTGAAACTTACGTTGAATTCTTGTAGCAAGTTGCAGAGTAAGCTTGGCCAAGAATCTACACCGAACAAAGCCGACATGTGCGAATGATTTACCTATTGAGAACGGGTATCATCGACGGATGTATATGTTCCCACATGTTCCCGGAACCACGCCAAGGGACTTGAACCCAGGCGGCAATATGACCGGATTGAAAATAAGTTTGACATGCGTAGTCGTGCGTAGTCTTTTGGAATTTTGGGGTCTTCCAGTTGGGCTGCTAGTTTTCTCCTCTCAGCGGCGGTGAGATGGTGAGTGTGAGAACGGGCATCGAATCATACAAGCGGTTGCTTGCTCACCCTAGCCATGATGAACAGGGCTGCCTTGTGCGAGCGGCTTTTATTGTTAGCGTCTCCATTAGGTTCCCGTCATAAGGTCTGCTCAAAAGTTGCATTCTGAACGTGTTTGTTTGCAAATCACAGGGGTCGCCCTTTCCAACTTGAGCCCAATACTAAGCAACGCAGTCTGAAACAGTTCTGCCCAAAAACCAGCGGTCCCTAATGAAGAAAACCTCCGAGGCGTGCTTATCTTTTATTCGAGGGGATTGTTCATTCTTAAACGGATTACCACTCTCATGACTTTCGGTTCTTGTAGGACTCTATTTGGGGTGCCCTTTTTGGGGTGAAGGAACAGCGAAAGACCAAATGGACAGCTACCACGTTTGGTCCAAATCCCTTTGACGCTCACCCCTTTGTCCCAACGGCCAAGCTTCACGGCCTCGGCTGCCCTGACTTTCGCCGTCTCCATGCAGCTTCGGCCCTAGGTGGGCGGAGGCTACCTGGGCTTGGAGTGTGCGGCAGCATTGCTGGGCTGGGGCGTCCGGCGCTGAGATAGATGGGCGAGTGATTGGCGATGGGCAAATCTGATCCATGGTTCTTTGGGGGATCCTGCAGTCCCACTTGCGAGCAGTTCAAGTTTCCCAGATAACCCAGGTCCAAAACAATGTAGTTGCACAGGTTCCCGCATTCGGATCTCAAAGACAGAGATGAGTTACCAATTGGGATGTTTGGCAGAAATCGATCATTGTTGCAGTAATGCCGATTCAGATCAGGGTTTGCTGAAGGCTTGCTGGCCATGTGGGAGTTCTCTTGTCTTTGGTCAGAGAGCTAACTTGCAGCTCGTGTCCGCACCACGGAAGTTCCTTCTATATGTCCTTTGGTGAAGGCAAGCAAATCCCAACAAAACGCAAGCAAGCCCTAAAACCACTCCACAGGGAGGGGAGGGTGTTCCCAAAAATGCATCCTAAATTTACCCTTGAAGATTGCCCAAGCCAACCGTGAAGCCGTAAACCGGTCATCTCAAATTTATCGGTAAAACCACCCAACCCAACCCTAAACCAACCTCGGGGGTTGGCCCAAAGCCTTTGGGCCACTTGCCACGCTTCCGCCCGGAGCTTCGGCTCAAGCCCCCGCATTGAGCCAGCTGAGCCGAGAGGCTCGCTTCAAAAGCCCCTTGGCTTATCGAGTTTTCGAACGGGACGCGCGGCGCATGGGAGCTGGGGTGTGACTTTTGGGTTGGTCCCTCATGGGGGGTGGGTTTTTGAAACACAGGGATTTAGCAGTTTTGGGGGTATGTTTCTTTGATGCTTCAAGAAAATCGAAAAAAAAAACCTCGAGTTTTCCAAAAAACACAAAAAAACATCAGACTCTAACTCAGCCAGCATGGATACATAGGGTCTGAAATTTTGTTTTTTTTTGTTTGTTTTTGGAAAACTCGAGGTTTTTTACACTTTTGTTTCTCAACTACGCACCAGGCCTGTCAAAAGCAATCTGAAGCTCAAACCAGTATCTCTGTGTCCTTCTCTTCGTCCACTTGCCTCATCACTATGATGCACGGTGAGGACATCACTCTCGCCATCGCTATCGAGGCAACAGACCACCTCATCCTGCGGGATTTGCCCAACCATGTCCCCGTGGGTCCAGTGCCGGTCAGTGGCGTCACTCCGGTATCGTTGCCATTGAAGGAGCTGAACCCAGCCTCCACCTCTGTCAAGCACTTCGTTGACATCGTTTGGGATGTTGACAGCCATGCCATCAATGTGGACAATTTATAGGCCGTCTTGCGTGACAAAGCGTGGGACGAGCTTCCGGAGCCATTGACATTGAAGGAGCGGCCTACATTCCGGTACATCTCGCAGTTCTTCCTTGTCCCACAGGTCGATGGCAAGATCTGCGTCGTCAAGCACTTCTACGTGCTCGACGACAAGATCAAAGGCAACTGTGTGGCCAAACTTGTTCGAGGGCAAGGGCATGAAGTAGCGTGGGGGGCCAACAACAAGGTGAAGACCCGCAAGGCATTGCAGTGGATGCTCGAGCACCTGGCTGGCATGCAGTTCAGGCATTTTGCCCTCAGCACAGAGAAGAAGAGACCAGTTGCTACGCGGGCGTCTGCCAACGAAGAGGAGCAAGATGGCTGGGTGGGACTACATCATCTCTCATGGTGAGCGAGACCGTGCTAACTTGCAGCAGCTCTGGTGGATCCATCGAAATATTCATCGCGAAGGGTCTCCTATCAACGGCTGGAGCGAGAAGCTGGTGCAGAGAGCCCTGGACAGTCTCGCCAACGATGGCTGCCTGGCAACTTTGATCACGAGGTATGACATCACGATCGATGCGGTGGAGCCCCTTGTGCTTGAAGTCATCGAGACGATCGTCCCGTACTTGCGAGATCACTCTCTGTGGCTGCTGGGCGAACCCGGGAAGGGCAAGACGCCCCTGGGACGCATCATTGCCATGATGTTTTCCCGTTACCACGGCGGTGCCGGCACCTTCCGCTCAGCGAGTGACTTTGACTTTTTCCGCGGGGTCCACTTCGACAAAAGCATCCCGGCGCTCTACGACGATGGCGAGATTGGCAGTGAGCCAATCAAGAAGAAGAAAGCCTTTTCTGATATTTTTCTGATGTGGGGGACATGAGACCATCCGTAAGGAGCGCTGGACTGCAGCCAAGTTCGTCATGCACCAGCTCAGGATGATCCTGGACAACCAGTATGACCCCAGCGCGGAGCCGGAGGACACGTTGGTGGACAACATCCCGCACGCCACTTTCATGAAGATGGTGAGGCCTGCAATCGGGTTCATCGCAGAGGCGGACGCCATGGCCATCTTGAAGCGTGCGGTCTTCATCGTCTTCTCTAAGTCTCACATCTACTACCACACCCCATCTGCCCAGCCTGTGCCGGTGAAGCGCATGACTTGGCTCCAGAAAGACATCCTGACGGACGCTTGCAAGCCCACCTTTTCAAACTTCAAGAGGGACGGCCCCATCCCCCTTGACATGGATGACAGGGCGCTGTGGGAGAGTGAGTGGCTGAAAGAGGCCTTCCGCAAGTTCGACTTGGTGGAGATGCTAGCTGCTCGACCTGCCCATGCCCGCCCTGAGCAGTCCGAGACACCTATGTTGGATGCGCTTTGCGAGCTGATGGAGCTTTGCCTGCGCCTGCGCTTTCAGCTGCACCAGCTCCGTCTTCTCCGGCGCGCGTCAAGCAGGAGTTTCCACCAGGGATGTTCCGTTGCCAGCTCAGGGGACTGCGGGAGCTTGCCATTGAGATTTCTGATCCCACACCCCCTCGCAGGCCTCAGCCGAAATGAAGACGAGGCCGAGCAGACGCAGGACCCGGCCTTCATGCCAGAAGTTGGCGAAGCCCCCGACGATGATGTGTATGGTGGAACCACGGACTGCGTCTTCAAAGACGTCTGCTTGGTTGTCTCTTTGCGCAATCTGGGGGTCCCGGTTCCATGCGAGTGCGATGGCCCTCTGCCCGTGTCCTTTGGGAACGACCTCCTGAAGCCTTTCGGGATCAACATGCATGTTCTTCTTCAAGCTTGCTCGCTGGCAAGTACGTCGTGCCTGACGGGATCGAGAAGCACTTCTTTGCGCTCATCCTGCGTGAGGGTAGCTCTACAAAGCAGTTGAGCTACTTGGCCTCTATGCTCCAAAGCCAGCGCTACAGGTTCTATCGACTGCAAGCCAGCAGCGGGCGCTGCATCCAGCGCAACGTAGTGGGTGGTGCAGGTGTCTTGTCTAAGTCTGTCTATGTCACTCCCACGATTGCATGCCATTGCGGGCACAGATCCATGTCGAAAGGTCATGACATCAGTGCCACGGTGTACACTTTGTCTGGGCCTGTAGAGACCCATGCGTTGCAATGGCTACGATTGCCGCGCAACCTTTGGCCCCAACTTCGTCGTGGAAGGCGGGCGCAAGCGGAACACCGCCACGCAGGCCACCATGTCTGACGTACTCTTCATCAACAACAAGAAGGGCTTCAGCATCAAGTACCTGGAGTACCATGCGGCGCTTGAGTTCAGAGCTTTCGTGTCCTATAGGGCTGTTGAGGATGCGTACAACAGTGTCTTTGTGGCTAATGGTGACCATGAGTTCGATGAGGAGTACAAGTTTCACGAGATGCATGGCAACGCGTTGATGTACTGGCTGGCTTTGCGCGAGCTGGAGCCCCTGGGCTTGCACCATCAGATCTTCATTGGGGACGAGCTTTGCTCAGAGACAGTGGCAGCCTACGACAACCACTTGCACTCACAGGTCTTCCCGCCGCGCAAAGCTGGTAGTGTCACGGAGCTGGTGGGGGACGGCCACTCAAAGGTGCACCTCAAGTGTGGATCCTCAAGTGCCCATGCTGGAAGGCCCCGCAAAGATGGGAAATGCAAGCCGTTCGGACATGGGTGGTTCATGTTGGTGAACCCGCGGGACTTGCGCATCGTGAGTGTGGAGAGCATGGTGAAGCCTGAGAACAACCTTGTGGTCGAGCGCTCCTTGGTCAAGGCCTTGCCCCACTACCCCAAGGTGAATGGCTTCATTTTGGACCGGGCGTGCAGCTTTACTCCTTCCCCGTCTTCTACATCCATCTGCAAGCAAGTCAAGTATTGGTCGGTCGACAAATTTCACGCGCAGGGGCACAAGAAGACATGCAAATGCAACCCACTCTTCGTGAAGCGCCTCGCAATCCGATTCCGGAACACCAACACGTCTGCTTGCGAGCAGGTGTTTGCTTGGTTCCGGAACTACGCCCGGATTCTCAACGAGGCTCGCCCCCTTCGGCATCACTTCAAGGTCTTGCTCTACTCCAAGATGCACAACGAGGCCGTCGATCGCAAGAAGGCTACCTATAGAACAAGTATGGTAAGAAGGCGAAGCGGACCACCAAGGCATACGGTTGCACCAAGAAGCCCGCCATGAAGAAGAAGTGAATGGCATTGTCTTCAATACTGTATGGTAGTGTATGCTTGCAATAGACAAGCAGTTTTGGGCACAACATACAGGGTCCATAGCGGTCCATAGCAATAAAAGCGCATTGCCTGCATACGTCTGATGCTCAGTCTGCCCAAATGCGAACAATTCTCACATTTGAGGCTGAAATTGGTAAATTTCATGCTTTTAAAAAACCCACCCCCCATGAGGGGACGCTCTCTAGCCAAAAGGGAACCAAGGAAACCAACCAATTTTCGGGCTGCAGCTTTTCTGACACATACCCATGTTTGCCCTTTTTCTGTGGCAAAAGCCAAGTACTTGAATCTTAGGCATTGATCTGGAACCGGCATGTTGGCTATCATGATATTGTCCAACTGTTGCCTTTCTCCTCCCTTTCCGGCGTTCTCCGTGCACTCGGGAACCGGGCATTTCCAAGGCCAAGGCCGGTCAGCAAAGGGACTTCAGGGACTGACATGGTGCTAGCAATATTTATGTCGAATGCCTTGGCATCCATGTCAAGCCAAGGCAGCCAGGAGTAATTAGCCCATTTGCTCGTTTCAGCTGCTTTTGGATGTAGAGAGTCCTTGGGGAGAACATGTGTGCGTTACG